AGCTGGGCACTTCCAGTTCACAAAACAATGTATTGAAGACAGAATAAACTACATATATTGTAAAACCACTTTAAAAACAATTTTAAAAAATAGTTAAAATTCATTAAAATTTTCAATGAACTTATCATGAGCATCACCATCACCAACTCTCTTCCTTCCTGCTGCCTTCAGAAGAAAAATATCAATCATGAGGTAAGGAGAAATTAATTATCTTAGTTTCATGTTTATTTGTTTTTTTTTAACCACTTGCCCTCCTGAGGATTTACTCCCCTTAATGACCAGGCCTTTTTTTGCTATTCAGCACTGCACTATTTCAACTGATAATTACGCGGTCCTGCAATGCTGTACCCAAAAGAAATTTATGTCCTTTTTTTCACACAAATAGAGATTTTTTTCAGTGGTATTTGATCACCTGTGCACTTTTTATTTTTTGCTCTATAAACAAAAAAAGACCAAAAATAAGTAAACAATATTTTTTACTTTCAGCTATAAAAAAATATATAGTAAGCTCAAAGTTAGTCATAAATTTAGGACAAAATGTATTCTGCTACATGTTTTTGGTAAAAAAAAATCCCAATAAGTGTATATTGATTGCTTTGTGTGAAAGTTATAGCGTCTACAAACTATGGTATAGATACTGCAATTTACGCCATTTTTTGCTATACAGCGCTGCACTAGTTTAACTGATAATTGCGTGGCCATGCAATGCTGTACATAAATTAAATTTATGTCTTTTTTCACATAAATAGAGCTTTCTCCTGGTGGTATTTGATCACCTGTGCGCTTTTTATTTTTTGTGCTATAAACGAAAAAAGACCGAAAATTTTGAAAAAAAAAAACAATGTTTTTTAATTTTTGCTATAAAAAATATGTTGCATACTCAAAGTTAGTCATACATTTAGGCCAAAATGTATTTTGCTACATGTTTTTGGTAAAAAAAAATCCCAATAAATGCATATTGATTGCTTTGTGTGAAAGTTATCTACAAACTATAGATAATGGAATTTACACAGCTTTTACTTTCTGACTGCCTATCACATTTCTTGGGGTGCTAAAATACCAGGATAATACAAACACCTCCAAATGACCCCTTTTTGGAAAGTAGACACCCTAAGCTATCTGCTGAGAGGCATATTGAGTCCATGGAAGATTTTTTTTTTTTTAAAAGTTTCTGGAAAATGACAAAAACATTTTATTTTTTTACACAAAGTTGTCACTTAAATGATATATTGCTCACACAAGCCATGGATTATGTGGAATTACACCCCAAAATACATTCTGCTACTTTTACTGAGTATGGGGATACCACATGTGTGAGACTTTTTGGGATTCTAGCCACATACAGAAGCCTGAAATCCGATGACTGCTTTGAAAGCCTGAAAGTGCGTAACTTCCTCATTTCACTTCCTCACTACCTATCAAAGTTTTGGAGGCCCTGGAATGCCAGGATATCACTAAACCCCCCTAAATGACCCCTTTTTGGAAAGTAGACACCCAAAGAAATTTAAAAAGAAGCATGGTGATTTTTTTCAGATCCCATTTTTTCTCACAAGGTTTCGAAATATAAAAAAAAAAAAAGAAAAGAAAAAACATGTTTTTGTTTTCTTTCTTCATTTTCCAAAAACTTGTGGCAACAAATGAGATCTGCAAAATACTCACAATACTTCTTATCAAATTTCTTGGCGTGCCTACATTACAAAAAGGGGTCATTTGGGGGGGTTTGGTGCTATCCTGGCATTTCAGGGCCTCTGAAACTGTGATAGGTAGTCAGGAAGTTTAAAGAGGAAATAAAGCCCTTTATAAGCCTGAATGTGCTTATTGGATTTTGGGGTCCTGTACTTGGCTAGACTGTCAAAAAGTCTCTCACATGTGGTACCCCCATACTCAGGAAAAGTAGCAAAATGTATTTTGGGGAGTAATTCCACATATACCCATGGCATGTGTGAGCAATAAATTATTTAAGTGACAATTTTTTTGTACATAAAAAAAATATATATTTTCTTGTCATTTTCCAAAAACTTTTGGTTAAAAAATAAATTATTCTATTGACTCAACATGCCTCTCAGCAAATAGTTTGGGGTGTCTACTTTCCAAAAAGGGGTCATTTGGGGGGTGGGGGCATTTTATGCTCAGCATTAGAAGTTTATGCCACACAACACTCACTCTTCTGACCACCTGAAGACCAAGCCTTTTCTGTCACTTTTTGTTCAAATGAAAAAAAAAAATCAGTATTTTTGCTAGGAAATTACTTTGAACCCTCAAACATTACATATTTTTTTTAAAGCAGATACCCTAGTGAATGAAATGGTGAGTGCTAAAATTTTTCATGTCACATAGTACTCGCGCAGCAATTTATAAAATGCACATTTAAAAAAAAAAAAATACAATTTTTAATTTTAATGCACAAAAACACAATACATTGGCAAATTATTTGGTAACTCATAAAAGATGATGCTATGATACCAAACATGACATGCTTTAAAACTGTGCATGCCCCCTGCAATGGCGACATACTGCATACATTTTTAATATGCTGTGGGGCAGCACAGTGGCTAAATGGTTAGCACTTCTGCCTGGCAGAATTAGGGTTGTTGGTTCGAATCCCAGCCACTGCACCACCTGCCTGGAGTTTGCATGTTCTCTCTGTGCCTACGTGGGTTTCCTCTGGGTACTCCAGTTTCCTCCAACACTCCAAAGACATGCTGGTAGGTTAATTGGATCCTGTCTAAATTTTCCCTAGTATGTGTATGTATGAATGTGAGTTAGGGACCTTAAGATTGTACACCCCTTGAGGGTTAGGGACTGACGTGAATGTACAATATATATGTGTAAAGTGCTGCGTAAAATTGACGGCGCTATATAAGTACCTGAAATAAATAAAAATAAAATAAAAATATCCATAGGCAACGCTTTAAAAGCCTTTACAAGCTACCATTTTAGATTTACAGAGGAGGTCTAGTACTACAATTACTGCCCTTGATTTTACGGTTGTGGTGATACCTTACATGCATGGTGCAACCACTGTTTACATACTGGCACTGGGTCAACTCTTATGCACACAGGTGCGCGTGTGTGTGAGGGGCGAGGGTACTTTTTTTTAAGTTATTTTGATTTTTTTAATTATTTGTACACTGTCCCTTTCATTTTTTTTTATAACTATTAATGCTATCACAGGGAATTCAAATATCCCCTGTAACTTCAGAGGGCATTGTCATATATTCTTTTTTGAGAAATCTGGAGTCTATCAGACTCTAGATATCTCCTCTGCCCTTACATTATCTAATCAAACCAAGATAGGTGTAATCAGATGCTTTCCCAATTTACAAATGACGCTGTTTATATCCTGCAAAACTATGTGATGAAATGCTCGTAGCTTCCAATTTCTTAGACTATAGAGATGATTGGCACCATTCCGGTCTCCAATCAGCTCTTAGGTTAGAAACACCAGCTGCATTCTCAGGTTCCCCTGATGGCATGGGACTGCCCAAAAAGGCTGTGGAAGGCAGCAGGGGAGGGGGGCATCTTCTCCTGCTGCTTGTAAAAGCAATCCTGCAGTTAATTAGCCACTAGGATTGCTTTTACATGAAAGCCCATCACCGGTTGAAAAAAAACAATACCAGGATGATGCCTGCAGCTGCGGGCATCATCCTGGTATAACCACTCAAAGTCCAGTGATGTACCAGTACGTCGCTGGTCCTTGTTGGGTGTATATACTATGTTCTTTTTTTTTATGCAGCCTGTGAGCTGAATGAAAAAAAAGAGAAGAAATCTCTGCCAGAAAAAATGTGTGGTATGCCCAATATTAGAATACCTTCCTGCATCCACCCACTTTTAATGGTGGGCACACATGAAATGTATACTTATGTATATTCTGAAAGCAAGGCCCTGTTGCTGTCAGAATAAACAAGTCGGCGCTGCAGTTGAATGACATTCCTGCAAAAAAACAAATGACATTCTTGCAATGGTTAACAAAAAAACAGTAACACAATAAACAACTTTTTATTGAAATATCTCTGCCAGAAAAAAAGTGTGTATCCTTGTATCCACCCCCTTCTAATGGTGGGCACACATAAAATGTGCCAACAAATATTATAAATTATATATGCCGAAGCATAGGGGCCATCCACCCACTGGCCACCCCAGGCCCCCATGCTTTGGCATATATGCTCTTTTTTAACTGCGGATGAAAAATCTCATCCAACAGCGCTGCCCACACTGATTTATGTATATTCTGAGAGCAAGTTCCTGTTGCTGTCAGAATAAACAGGTCGGTGCTGCAGCTGAAAGCATTCCTGAAAAGAAAACAGCAATAGTTAACAATAAAACAGTAACAATAAAATGGTAAAAGTGTAACAGTAGAACAGTAACAACGATAGCAGCAAAAAAACTACAACTATTTTTGGGGTTTAAAATTTAATTTTTTTTTGGAATTTGTACTTTTTATTTTTTTTTACTTTTTTTTTTTTAAACTTTAACTTTTTAAACAGATTGTAGGGTCTCTCCAAATGCGATAGCCAGTTTCCTGACTACCTAACATGTTTCGAGACCCTATGTATTTATGTACCCTGAACTGTGCCATGCTGTACCCTATACTAATACTCCACTAGTGTATGGTAGAAACGGAAGCAGTCCTGAGGCCAGGTAGCCAGGACAGGAGGGACAAAAAAAGCGGCTGTCACACCTAATTCCATGTCTGCTACAGACACAACATCTTTTTTGGGGGTTCCTCTGGGTTGGGGAATGTCATCGGAAAAATGCCTCTCATGCAGCTGGCTAACTGCATCTGGGTTGGGGGTTTGAGCCACAGCACCTTCTGGATTCAAAAGTGCCGTGATGATCTCTTCCTGGAATTTTAGTAAGGACCCACTATGTCCAGTTGCTTTGTAAAGCACAAAAGCATTATAAAGAGCCAATTGAAATAAATAAATAGATACTTTTTTGTACCAGCGTCTGCTTTGATCCACAATCAATGCATACATTTCTTCTGTGAAAAGCAGCTCCATAAAATCAAAGGGAGTATTTAAATTTGCTGTTTCCACCTGAATTCTGGGTTGGGCAATGAATGGGGGAAGTACGGGTGCTGCAAAATTTGTGGGCTGCCAATCGGGATTTGCAAGCACCTCCGAAAGGACACTATGGGCTCTATGGGCCTGTGTGCGAATTTTGGGCAATGAATGGGGGAAGTATGGGTGCTGCAGAATTTGTGGGCTGCCAATCGGGATTTGCAAGCACCTCCGGAAGGACACTATGGGCTCTATGGGCCTGTGTGAGAATTTTTGGTGGTCGCGGAACACTACTTGTGCTCGCCACCGCACCAGCTTGTACTTCACTTATGGGACTCACCATGTCACCAAGTGATACTGCAGTTCTGGTATGAAAAAGACCAGGATGGACTAGGCCGCTAGTGCTAGCCAGTTCACCAAAAGGTAGAGCGGCACTAGTACTGACACTCTGCTGCAAATGAGCATCATCATGCATTTGTAACATGTCAGCAACCTGGAAATGGGGTCGGGTATGCCTGATCTTAGCAGGGACCTCTTCTCCGTCGTCTGAGCTATCTGTCAGGGTGCCACTGTTGTCTAAAGGTTCGCATTCTGAGGCTGATTCTGTCAGTGAGTCTTCCCTTCCATTCTCACCTGACATGCTCAGGTTGGACCTTTTGGTTACTAAATTTATAGGTACCTAGTGCAACTCACGGAAAAAAAGAGCGCCTGGCTGTCAGAGACTGCTTTAACTGCTACAAAAAATTTATCGACAAGTGCTAACAGAGATCAGGCCTGATTCTGTGAACACTGCGGTTTTGTGTGCAATGTATCAAGTGACAGTGATCTACTGACACTGCACTTGCAGGGGGGAGAAGGGGGGTGGTAAATGTAGTGCCTAAACGTAGGTGCTGGCAGGTGTCGGGGCTGATCCCGCTAACGCTGCATTTTTTGGGGACGCTATACTAATGTGAATGCTGGTATTGTGCTGATCTGATCAAAGATATTGATCCATTCAGACACTATACTAGCAATGGAGGTTTAGTGTGCAAGTGAGCGTTTTCCTGGCAATCAAGGGGTTAAATGTGATTACTGGTGTACTAGCGGGCAATCTGATGCTCTCTGGGAGGGGCGCTAACGCTATTGGAAGTCGCCAGCGACACTAATACAGTGATCAGTATACAAATCTGTACACTGTAAATAATGACACTGGTGACAGGGCAGTGCAGGGGTTAACTAGGGGGGCGATCAGGGGGTTAAATGTGACCTAGGTGTGTTCTAACTGTAAGTATGTGCTGTTTTTTACTCATGTTTTGTATGTCTTCTCTCTCTGGGACAGAATGTGCCCAGGCAGAGAAGATTGACATCATATCCTGTTTAACTGTCAACACAGGACAGGATAGGACAGGGCCGATCATTCGACTTCGGCTGGACATCACTGGCCGAAGTTGAATGATTGATCCCTTGGGGATTGAATTCTGACACCCGCGGCTCAGCGGGGGTACGCGCGCCCCTCCAGCCTGAGAAACCAGCTGGAGCTAAAATCATGTTTATATACATGATCCTGTAAACAGGGGCTGCCTTGTAGCAGGGGGCAAGGGTTAGACTCCCTGTGAGGTTATCCTGCAGTTCAGGACTCTGTTATAGAGATTTACTCTGACTCACTTTTCTGTGTACAATTTTTTAACAGGACAGAAAATTAGGGTCAAAGGTCCAATGTATGTCCCCTTTTTTGTGTTGTCTGTTTCTATTTAGAACATTTTCTCTCATTGTCTTTTAAAACATGGTTCCAAGGACATAAAGTAATAGGAAATATATTAATGGACTGGATAGCATGAAAACATAACATAGTTATTACCTTTCCTCATTTTACCAAAAATTAAAATAAACATTTAAATAATGTGACTGGACACAATTCAAGGCTTAGTTTACACTTGTGGTTGGAGGGGTAAAAATAGGTGGTTGAACCACATTTTTACTGACACCCAACAACCCCTCTTAAGCTGCAAAGGCAGCTGGATGGAGCTGTACACATGCCTCATTTGCAATACTTTTCTTTGCGACACAGCAAAAACAACCACCACCCACCCCGTCATGTTTGGTGGTCAGTGCCGTTACTGAATGTGATCCACAAGCCAATGCTAGGCTTGCTCTTGTGACATGGTATTCACAAAGGGTGAATTTTTGGTTGTTTGACTGTCAAAAGAAAAAAAATTCAGGAGGGGCAGTATCACTTTAAGAATGTCTGTCAGCCATGCCTGCATGGCTCTGTGAGAAGTGATCCACCACTGATCACTTTTCACAGATCAATGCAGGTGTAAGTGACCCTTAAAAGTTTTGAGTCACATTCTTGAACAATAAGGGTTTCAGGTTTTGCAATGGAATAGTCAATCATGCACATGTGACCATCCTTTAATAACTTTTGCCCTTTTGTGTTCTGAAACTCATTCACTTAGCTACACTAACTATTGCTTTGTAAATTAATCAATGAAAGGTGTTTAATCAGAACTAGGAAACATATTAATACTGTGTTAGTGTGCTTTCATCTGAAAGTGTTTCTTCTTTTTTTTTTAAAGCATCTCCTTAAGCCAGCGACAGCAGCAAAAGCCCAAAGGAAGCCCAATCCCCTCCATTGCCTGCAGGCAGAGATCCTGTAAGTGAGTGTCTCCTGTTTAGATCTGTTTATTCTTTAGCCACAGCCAAATGTTGAAAAGTATCATGTTAGTATTCATCACTTACATTTGCCTTAGTGTTCATTTACCAGAGGAACAGAGGCTGCGTACTTATGCAAGATATTAGCACTTAGCTTACTGAACTGTATGCGAATGTGGGTGGCTAAATGTGCAGCCTAGACTGCTTTCTGAAAGCAACACCAGTATTTGCAGTATTGTAACCTCGCTGCAGTGTTGTTTGGGTTGAAAGTGGGAATAATATCTCGTTTATGGTTGTGAGGGCCATAATATGCTTTTAAGGTTTTTTTTTTTTTTTCTCATATCCAGCTCTGTCAAAAAAAAAAATATTCTTGCTTTTCTTTAAATTGTTTTGTGTTTATTATGGTTTGTAATTTTTTTTTACATTTTTTTAGGTGTGTTACTTATTTTTATTTTTATACTTCTAAACATATTTTATATAATAAGCAGTTTTCAATACATCACTTGTTTGTTGCTCTCTTTTTTTCCCATTGCAACATATATTTTTTAGCTTATAATTCTGGTTTTGGTTAAAGATTACTCACATTTCACTTCAATAATTACATGGGTAGAGCATGTTTTCTGTGGATAATGGTTTTGCACTTAGCTTAATAAATGAGGCGAAGCTGTGCTTATTCAATTTTTCTAATCCTAGTTAAAACTATGTTTTCAAATGTGTTTTTGACTGGTTTTTAAGGCCTCGGAATTTACACATTAACCCTAGATTTACCAAGCTAGGTGGAAAATTAATTTTACAAGTGACTATGTCTTACTACAGTAGAATGTCTCTTAAAAATCTTCTTAAAAATGTATGTTTGTCCATGTTCACCCTCGTGGTGGAACTAGAGCCATAGCAGTCAACACATCCCACTTATTCAGCAAGTATTTTCATTCCAGGTGTCCATAGATTGAAATTTATTCCACTGCTCTTCTCCAGCAAATTCTCCTTCCATAAATAACCCAAATAGAGTATGCACACAGCTCGCCTGCCTATCATTGATTATGTTACCAAGTATGTGTCCTATGTTTTCCCTACCTCATCCTTCTCCACCTGTGGGGACCACAAACCATCTATACCCCATTCATGTGAAGCAGATCATGGCTGTCTCTGGAATGGTTTGCCAGTTGTCTCCTAAACTGGATGGTAGGCAAACTTACCAAGCTTTAGAATGGTCTTCCTGAATTTCTCCTTGGCGAGATGCTAGAGAAGGATTTCATCTTAAAAGATGAGCTCAACCAAAAGCTGACTGTCTTTATCACATTTGGTTATGACTGGACTGTGACAAGAAATTAACCAGTCAGTGCAACTAAGATGAGGAAGGTAGCCAAGATAAGTAAAGCAGACAGCAGTATCAAAAAGATCTCTGTTAGTGGATAAAAAAGAGCAGACAAGGGTGCACTCTCATCGCGCATTACCGTGGTATACCACGTGTTTATTAAATAGATGTATACTCTATGAATGGATGTATACTACTCACAAACCAACGAAGATAAAAGCAGTATATGTGGTCCGCAATAGCAGTCACACAAATGCTGTGTCCTTAATAAGGATAAGCTAAAGCGTTTCGGGAAATAAACCCCCTTCCTCAGAGCTCTGCCCCGCCTAATTGTTACAAAAACATTCACACCATTGTACCAATACAATGTGCCTATTCCAGCTTTTAAAAAAATAGACCTTCCATTCATAGTGCAAAAAAAAAAATTCCAAGCACTCCCAAACCACTAACTACAAAATATTGTCAATGAAATAAGAATCACTCATCAATTAATCTTCCATGGGGTGGTCAAAAGAAATTTCATTAATCGCTTGCTAGAAAGTTAGACATCCATAAACCAATGGGTCATATCAATGGTCAATAATAAGAATAGCCACCAGGTGTCACTCCCTTTCTTCAGTGTTATAAAAGCAAAAAGAACACTCATGCAATGTTGGAATGATAAATCATTCAAACCACTCTTAGCTGAGCTCATATTTATTTTCAAGTGTTAAACGTCAACTCACCAGATGGAAGCAACCTAATCAGGTTTAATACAGCATGACATGAGGTCCTCCATAAGTGTTTTCTTTAGGCCATCACACAAAAAAAGTAGTAGCTTCACAGTATAATACTTTTAAAACCACCATTTTGTACTAAAAATATATACTTACATATAAACAGGTAATTCACATAATACTCTGGTAAAACAAAGATGACAGCTCTGCCCTTTTCATCGTGTAGACTTTCTCAATTGTGGAATTTATCACAGAGTTTACATGAAAGTCATTTAGGGTGTTTTTTATGTTTCACAATTTAAGCTTATTAAGCAATACAAAGAAAATAGATTAATTACCAGGGTGTGTTTACAAAGTAATCACAAAAAGATTCACAGGTACTGATTTAACATTGTAGTAATAATAGGTGAAGTTATTCATATGTGATATGCAGTGTTATGTCACAGGCACTGCCTTTTAGAATGCCCAGAGGGATGCAAAGCGTCAAGTAAGCATGACCTATGGGGGTTTATTTACTAAAGCTGGAGAGTCCAAAATCAGACTCACTTCTGCATAGAAACCAATCAGCTTCCAGGTTTCATTGCCAAAGCTTCATTGAACAAGCTGAGGTTAGAAGCTGATTGGTTTCTATGCAGAAGGGAGTCTGATTTTGGACTCTCCAGCTTTAGTAAATAAACCCCATAATGTCATAATGCTGGGTGAAGGCACTGAGGGGGCTCGTTGTGGGAATAGAGGATTGTGTAGCTTGGTAACATTTGTGGACATGAGAGTCCTTGCTCAATGCATATGTGCATCAGTCTTAATGTG